CCAGACTGCTGACTTAATTCTCAGAAAAGGTTGGAATTTTAGGGGGTTTCATATTCAATGTCATGCACATGATTAGATGGGAGCGACAATGATGATGAAAAACCTCACGCTCGTCAGTGAAGCACCTGATTTTTTTTGGAAGGCAGGTTCAGCCCTTTCTGAAGCTCAAGTTTGCTCTAAGGTATCTCAAAAGGGGTCTCAGCAACGAAAAGGTCCGAGAAGCACTAGTTTCGTTTGAAACTGTATGCCTTTATTTTATGCTGTTTGTCCTAACCCGAACCACCCATCTCCCTGGCTCTAAGAGACCGCACGCCAGCGTCCTGTCTCTGGTCCTTCCGCCCGCAGGCTCCGCAGACCCTACCCTGCCCAGACTCCAGACGCCTGGGTCTAATCATTCAGCTGGGCATTAACAGCACCCCAGACAAGTAGCGCGAGGGAGAGCCTTTCTGCTTTCGTTGCAATTAAAGCACTCACAAACCGGAGCCGTAAGTCACAAGAGCAATATCGTTCTGGGGTGTGGGCTGTCAGTAAATTTTCCCCCAAAATCTGAACTTAAATCCACTGGAGAAGAATTTGCCTTTCTCTTGGTGACATCAGTGGACTCCTTGGGCTAGAAAAGTATTTCTGAGAGCTGAATTCCTATCACAACAGTTCGGGGAAAAATATGCCACTCCTGAAAAGTGGACAATAATGTACTTATTCAGTATTGTGGAACCCGTGCAAACTGGGGGCAGGCTCTCTGGCATGCATGAAACTCTGATGAGTTAAAACATTTTCAGCTCAGCTCACGGAAATTACTGTGTCTTTCAAAGGTGTCTTTCATTTTCTCATGCATGAAGATTTTTCTATTTCTCTTTTCAGCACTCCAGTACAGCCTAAGACTTTTTCTGTGAGCAGAGCTGTGGCTGACCTCAATAATAGCTCTGTTTAAGGGAGGTTCACAGAACCAAACAGCATGTTAATGTGTTGTATAGCGATAGACTTTGAACTAATAATCAGGCAACTTCAATACTCTAAAAGCACACGCAGTCTTCCGGAGCGTCTTTCAGTAGCTGCATACTTAATCCTGTGTCATCAGAAGACTGGGTTCTGCTTCTTATCCAAGTATCTTACTGCTGGAGCCACTGAGAGTTTGGAGACCTAAAGAGCGCGTGCTTGGCCCTTAGCATCGGCACGGTCACTGCAACGTCCCGTGAGAAGCCCTTCTGAGCTAGGCAGAGGCGACGGGAACTCCTTGTGCACAGATACAGCCAAGGCTTTTCTCTGAGGAAAAACTGCGTTTGGTTTTCCTTTCAGCACAGCTCGACTTCCTCATAACGTAGCACATAATCAGAGACTCACTCGAGAGAGGGACATTAACACGAGGACATCTCGCATACACATCAGCTGAAAAGGATACATTTGCCATCTTGTACCAGATGAAACCTCATTTGTGAGAGCCACAAATCTTATTAAGTGCAAGGGGACTTTCCCTCGGTTATATCATCTTTTAAACACAACTCACAGAAAACTTCACTGTAAGCAACATCCGCTGTAGTCTTCTCTGGCTATCTTCTTTGGGCCTATAGGGTACCATTCGTCACTTCTTAAAATACACACTTGTGGATATGATTAACATGTTACTACATTTTCCAGTGTAGGGGATCATTAATGCATATATAAACACAGTTTAAATGGCTGTGAACCAGCTTGTACAAAAAAATACAATCATAGCACCATATTTACAAATTTAGTACCATCTGCTGGTTAACTAGAAATCTGAAACTATCTTTTTATGGCTAATTAGGTTATAGGGTAGTGCTTTCAGAAAATTGCCTGAATATCTTTTACAAATATACACTTATAAAAAGAAACATTATCAAAAATGCTGGCCTTTGAGGCAGCAACTTGCGTTAAAAAAGTTATTAAAACATTGTTCATTATAGACTTAAAAAAGCTTCAAATTTACATTTTCCTTTTGATAGGCACTCTATAAACTAAAATGTGGCCTTGTTTCACAGCTGTTAGCTTAAGCATTTACTTATCTAGTTAATTGTTACCAATGCTGCTCATTTTTTATAGACAGAAGCAAAAGGAAAAAAGAATCACCCATTAACCAGAAGCATCATTTACAGTTTTTACTTTTGCCTACTTTACACGTGTTGCTTAAAAGTGACACTGTTTTGATGTTGAGGTTTGCTGTATGTTATCCCACTGCCTTCTTGGGGCTTAGCTCCTTCTTTCCCAGAATTCGGTGAAGGCTGGCTGACATGAAGTAGGGTTTTGCTGTAGATCCATCATTTCTTTCCAGGTCTTCACCTGAATTTACACCAGCAAAAGCAGCCAAAGCAGCAAGCAGCAGTGCAGTCACACACACCCCAAAGCGGGGAGGAAAGACGAGAGAGAGAGA